GAATAGTCCACCTGTTTAAGAACAATGTTCCTCAGTGAGCATTCGCAAGCTATTCTACCCTCTACTGTGCAAAATAATATCAAAATATTCTGGGAATCCAGAAAAATCTTGTGTGCGTAAAAAGCAAGGTCAGAAACCACAACTGAATACCCCTGACCGTCAATCCCTCAGATGACCCAGCATTAAAAACTGTTATGCTACTGTGATGGATATCACTACATGAGCTTGGGAATGCTTTGACAAACTGTTATCAATAAATGCTGTTCATCAATGCATTCACAAATTCTGCACACAGCAGAAGCCATATCTCATCAATGTCCAGAAACACCGCCGAGTTCTCTGGGCTCCAGCTCATCAGAAATGGACTAAACCGTTCGAATTGTTTATGGAAATATTGGTCATCATGTTTTCCAGGCCAATGAAGAAGAGAACCATCCAGTCTGTTACCAGTGTAAATTTCGAAAGCCAGTGTCTGCGATGGTGCAGGAAGGTGTTAGTGTGTAACTTACACATCTGTGAAGGCACCATTAATGCTGGAACATATTTACCTGTTTTATTTTTTTTTTGTGATCAACTTTTTTAATTTTTCATCGTTTTACGACAAGTTAAAGTCTTACTTTAACTTGGAGAAATGTGAATTTCAGTTTTCTGAAGTGTGAATTTCAGTTTTCTGAAGTGCATTTTCAATCTATGAAAAATTTATTTCAACAACACAAGGAAACTGCATCCTAGGTGCACCACTATTGACCCTGTCCATGTACACCCGCAGCTGCCACTTTAGTAGACCTCGTACTTGACGTCAACACAAACACCCACACACGCATATGCTCAGTGTTTGTGTAAACCCAATTCTGTACGATTTAGCACAAACTACAAAGTCCTCTTCACCTTCTCCATCCCATAATCACCCTTTATCAGCCATCACTGTGGACTGTCTGCAGCTGACACATTTCACTGAAGGCCAGTAGAGTTTGCCAAAAATCTTTTTCATTTCTTTCTCAATTTTTCTGTAAGGGACCACATCTGAATGTTCTACTCTCTAATGGCTTTGATAACATGTGTAGATTTCACCAATATGAGTGGAATGAATGTAAATGGCAGTGCCGTCCTTAACCAAGGCCTTTTCTCATATTTGGCCTGATTTCTTCGGAAAGTTTGGACGAGTACACAGGTTGTTACCATGGTAGCATGTACTAAAGTCACTGTGTGTGTTTGTGTGTGTGTGTGTTTGTGTTGTTTGGGGTGGTGTGGGGGGATAAAACAGTTTGGCCTGTACAAAAGTAATGGCACATTTTATGTTTTATATTTGATTTTTTTTTTCCCTATTTGTTAAACTCTAATGGCACTAATGGCATATTCCGTATTCATGTAAAGGCCTTTGCACCGAATGTGATGCAAATTAACAGCACAAAAAAGCATTCAGAAATGAATTCAACGAAATGTTGCTGTTTATTGTTGTTTGTTCATCCAAGCTACATGTAGCCGTTACTCATGTTGTGTTATGTCGGGGGTGTTGGTTTTGTGTTGTGGGTTAGTCACTGTCAGGATAAAGCATGAGGTTAAGTGTGACCTTCCCCATTGTTTTGGCATTGCGTATATACTTTTCTTGCTGTGTGTTCAATAAAGAGCACTTCTCACAGCAGAATGATGACCACCCCTATGACTTGCTTTCTGTTGACGTCACAGTACGTACTTTTTTATACAAGCAGCCTCTGCAATAAATAAAATGCAAACTTTCAACCTACTGTTTGTGAAAACAATTCAGCAGATCTTGATAAGATATGTGTCTGAAAATTCACAGACGACGATGTTATGAAAATACAAAAAAGTGAACAGAAGTGTGTCTTGAAACTGTTTCACTACATAAAAGTCTGTGCTACATTTTACCTGGAGTACCTGGTTTTGCCCCAGCTCCCCTGCATGTTAGCAAACTAATCCAGCTCAAATATGGTGTAAGTATGTATCAGGTGTTATTGTAAGCACTGTATCAGACCGTATAATCTCAGTCCCTAACAGAGTGTTAGCCCTGCTTCACTTTCCACTCGTGGTCTTTTTGCAGAGCAGAAAGTGAAGGTTTGTGTAAAGTTCGTAGTCAGCCTAAAGCCACAGTCAGGCATTTATGATCACTGAAAAAATCGAATTTGTAAAAAATTTAGCTATGTTTTTTGCTCTGTGACACAAGTGAACAAACACAAGAGCAAAAAGATTTCCTTTGCTGGTGAAAGCGCACAAAACAAAACACATCATAGCATGAACTTCAGTAATTCAATTAGGCCTTACAGTTCCATTCAGAAAACAGAGTTGTTTACCTCAGCATATCATTCAATTGATGACAGAACAAAGTGGCAACATTTCAGTGCAGTTTATTTGGCTTTCATTCAGATGGAATTTGCTTGATTGAAATGAATAGCGTTCATTCGTTGAAATGTACTTTCATTCATTCTTGTCCATTTTACATGGAAATCAAACATCCTTGTGCGGAGAGTTTCACCCCCTCATTGAGGAGCTGGAACTTCATTAGAGCTTTTGCAAATAGCTCGGACGTCCGTAACCCAGTTTGAGGCCTCTGTGAGCTGCTTTTGGTGATGCTAACACTATCAGCGATTAAGCAGAGGGCGAACATGTTCTTCTGGCATTTCTAGAAAAGTGCTAAATGCTGGGACACGTCCCATCCATCATCTTGGTTATTGCCATGCCAACTATAGAGACAACTGGTCACTGAGTTCATGTCAAAGGTTTGATGTTGCATGTGGTTGTTGTTGGGTTGATCGATCCACACACTATCACACTATTAATTCCTTGTAACTGCAATGCTCACTGTTGGAATTCACATTTTTTAGTAAACGTTTTACAAAGTCATGAAGCTAATCAGGCAAACGAGGTCAACTATAAACAAAGTGGCCAATCAAATGTTCCACATCATCTGTTTTTTTTTTTCTCTCAGTCAGCGAATCACCTTCAGCGCAATGAACCGCAGCAGTTTGCAGGTCAAGATCTGCACTAGCACAGAGGGTTCACCTGATTAGACACACTAGGTATACGCACAACTGTAATAAACATCATTTAATGTAAAGATATGTATTAAAGACTATAAAAACAATTAACTTGAATTTTTATCAGTTCTTTATAACATACACACTTAAGGATGTTTCTTCAAGCGTTCCTTAGTAAAGGCAATGATTCCATTTAGAACCATTTGCATGGTTAAATGGTTCTTTGCATGGTAACATGGTTCTTCAGATTGATGGAGAATGTACTGTATAAGGTGCTATATAACATGTTTTTGAAAAAGGTTCTATATAGCACCAAAAGTGTTCTATTGTTTTATACTGTAAGCTTGACTTTTACAACACATTCTCCATCAATCTGACTCTATACAGACCTGATGGTCTCTCTACTAGAGAACCATATTAGCCACCTCTAGAATTGCCAACATTTTTCCTGTGTTAACAAAAATATTTCAGATATAAATACAAAAGGAATGTAGTTCCTCGCCAGTTATCTGTGAAATAAATGTTTCCGAGGCTCGGCCTACAGCCTGTTTTCACTTTCTGAAAAATCTAATCTAGTGTGAAAGATATCAGCTATACACAAGCTTGATTTAAGTCAGAATATTATACCATAATATACCATGTTTGTGTGTAAGGGCTTTAATTCCTCTGTTAATATGAATAATTTGCTTATCAGTTGAATTTCAATCAACATTTCTTCTCTCATTACCTGTTTCAGTTCACTACTGCTCTCAAAATCCTCTATGCAGGGCTGCCACTTGTCTCAACACTGATATTACAGATTTAGTTATTGACATTTATGTGTAGAAACACACGCACAGGTCTAGTGCAGCACTGATGCTCAGATTATCATTCATGAACATGTCCGATACTGACATTGTTCAGTTTGATGATTCCTCAGAAGAGCTCAGTAACACTGAGATTAATAACTGATCACATTGATTTATCAGTCTACTCAGGCTGTAGCAGAGTTTAGTAACACTGAGATTAATAACTGATCACATTGATTTATCAGTCTACTCAGGCTTTAGCAGAGCTCAGTAGCACTGAGATTAATAACTGATGATCACATTGATTTATCAGTCTACTCAGGCTTTAGCAGAGCTCAGTAACACTGAGATTAATAACTGATTACATTGATTTATCAGTCTACTCAGGCTTTAGCAGAGCTCAGTAACACTGAGATTAATAACTGATCATCATATTGATTTATCAGTCTACTCAGGCTTTAGCAGAGCTCAGTAACACTGAGATTAATAACTGATCATCATATTGATTTATCAGTCTACTCAGGCTTTAGCAGAGCTCAGTAACACTGAGATTAATAACTGATCACACTGATTTATCAGTCTACTCAGGCTTTAGCAGAGCTCAGTAACACTGAGATTAATAACTGATCACACTGATTTATCAGTCTACTCAGGCTTTAGCAGCAACTTTAGTGTTTGTAAAGAAGCTGTTTGTTGAGTTCCTCTTTAAAGCATGTTTGCTACACTTCATGAGTTGATTTGAAGTTGCTAATAAACTAGTATTGATTGCATTTCTGTTAAAGATAATATATATATTTTAATTTAGTGGGTAAGTATTTAAAAATACTCTCCTAAATATGTAAAAAATATCTGTATTCTGAATACTGCTTTTTCAAAACAATGACAGAATACAGACATTTTGTATTCTGCATTCTGAATATGTATTTCCAGGTAAAGACCCCATAAGGCCTCATATGTTTTGCATAACAGAAAAGCAGTAGCTACTGCATTTCTATTATGCAGAATATATGATGACTTATGGTCCTTATCAGGGTATTGGAAATATGTATATGTACAAGTGATAACATATAAGAACCAAACAGAAAGCTGATTTCAGTTTTTGAAAACTTGACAAATCTTCACAGACAGGAACGTTTTGTTTAGTCTGTTTTAGCAATAAATCTGGAGAAAAACAAATCTAGAAGTCATTTTGTTCTTATCCATGAAAGACTCAGACATCTTTTAAATACAAATTGTAAGTTTATTCAAGTCTGTAAAACATTTACAAAGTTTTAGCCAAACCTAGTTACTTAACAAGCACTAAATATACAAAGAAACTACCAACTAATCTCAGAACTACTTCCTAAAGCTGTCATACAGTGTTGTGTCAATAGCCACATTAGGCTAATTAATTGAAAAATGAGTATTAAGAACTTTACATAGCATGAATTAGATTACAGAAGTTGACATCCTTGATAATACTCAACATCATCTCTAATCTGTTTGTGTATTTTTTTCTGGTCCACCCGCCTGCATACTTGACCAGGGATCATTTTAAACTCCGCCACTGTTGTAAGAAAACCTCTCTGGAACGGCAACTTTACGGGACGGTTCTTAACTTGTCGACATTAATGTAACTTAAAAAACTTAAGTTAAACTTAAAAAAAATAAATAAAAACTAAAAAAAAGTTACGAGGTTTTCTTACGACAGCCACGGCTTCTTAACATCTTCAGCCGTCTAGCAGCTTGGTGAAGAAGTGGCAGACGGAATGCCAGCCCTCTCCGCAGTAGCTTTCGGCCGGTTCCGTGTCCGCGGCCCCGTCGCTCACTTCCCCAAACTCATTGACGCTGTCTCCCTGCATTAGCTCCTCCTCCTCCTTCATCTCCCCCTTGACCTGCTTCTCCTTCTCCTTCTCCCCTTCCTTATTCCCCACTTTCTTCTTCCCCCCGTCATTCTGGCCCTCTCCCTTCCTCTCGGCTAGCTTCATGTGGGCGGCGGCCGGCGCCTTCTTGCACAGGCGCGTCTTCAGCACCTTCTCGCCCTCGCAGGCGTTGGTCCGCTTCTTCAGCTTCCCCACCACTTGCTTCCAGTATTGCGCAGGCTTGTCTACGTAGGCCGGGCACTCTAGGGGCTTGCCTGAGAACTGGCAGCTGTAGGAGTGCTTGGACTCCTCGCCCTCCTCCTTCTCAGTGGGGTCAGAGCAGCTGACCTGGAGAAGGATGTTGTTGTTGCGGCCCTCTTGTGCCTCCCAGGTGCAGCGGTGGCCCTCCTTGGTGCTCAACTCCCCGGAGGCCAGCGCGGGACGTCCCTCGTCTTCGCCCTTTGGCTTGGCCTTCTTTTTCGCTGCCTCCGAGCAGGGCAGGAGGAAGAGGAGGAAGATGGGGAGGAGGAAAAGAGGGATGGGTGGACGCCGCATGGCTGCGAGGGTAAGTGCAGGAGAAGGAAAGAAAGAATCCCAGGTTCAGGGCAGGATGAGCATCCGTACAGGGAGCCACAAAGGACAGAGTGGACGAGACTCAGGACCACCTGCTACTTGGACAACCTGCTGAGGGAGTGGAGGGCTTGTTAGTAGGGCATGATGATAAACCACAAAAAGTAAACAACAACAAATGCACTAAATGTAATTCTTTACTACAAGGGGTCCAATCACGTTGCATAAAGGAGGCTTGGCAGCGCCCTTATCCTTCTCAAACTGACCTTACTGGAATAGTCCAGCATTTTTTAGCGTAATGTCCATCTCTGTGTGTATTGTACTGTTGTCTACCATGGAAAATAATTCAGTAATACTATAGAATCCAAAGGGGCAACATTATTAGGTCAGAGTAGATAGGTTCAGGTTCTGGATTATTGCTTTAAAACTGTAGGTACCCTGTAATGTATTGCAGGCAAAATATTTAATTTTTTCTTGTTTTTTTTGTTTATCTCTATACATACTATGCAATAGAAGCCTCCCCACTTGCTTGAATATTTTTTTTTCCTTTTTTGTTTTATTTTTCATACATTACCAGTATAAAGTGCCAATAAATAGACATCCCCCATTGTAAAAAGTGCCAAAATATCAATAAAAAGACAAAAAGTGCAAAATAAAAAAAAATAAACGCAATGTTTTTTTCACTCTGTCAGTAATTAACATGCAAATACTCCACAGAAAATACAAAGAATTCGAAACTTTCACTGAAAAGTGCAAATATTTTATCGTTACGTCGGTGTAAAAGGATTTGTCCTTCTACGCAGGTCAACAGAAGCGCATTCAGCAAAACAAAGTCTCTCCCAGACTTTTTCTACTACATTTTCACCCTTAGGCTGCTTTATTTCATCCACAGAAACCTGAAATAGCATTAAAATTCACCGAAATGCAAAGTTTTGCATAGTTTTGTCGTTTATCTCCGTTTGATTTACTTACCAAGTGGAGATGTCTTCCTTCAGCACCGCGAGAGCAAAAGGGTCTGAAGAGGAGGATAAGGAACCAGGGGGCAAGGCAGAAAGAAAGGATGGGAGCGAGGGATAAAGAAAGAAGGGGGAAGGAGAAGGGGGGAGGTGGGGGGGGGGCTTTGGGGGGCATCAATAGCGCAGCCAAAAAAACCTCCCAGAACTGGGCCCCTCCCTTGTAGTCTGAAAACAAACTGACACCCCTCCCTCCTTCGCTTTCTCTCGCTTTCTCTCCTTTTCTCCCCTCGACCCCCCGCAGGCCTCTGTCTTCTTAGACTCCAGGCAAAATTAGGTTAGATCTACCCCGAGCCAGGCTGCTCACTGAGAAATGTCCACTTGAAAACACTGTTAAAAACACAATATAATTCCGAAGGGATTTGGTCTGTATTTGAAAGAGTTACTAGGTTGTGATGTGTCACTTTACAGCATCTAGATCTGTGGTGTTCAGAGTGGTAAAAAATACTACATAATATTATGCAATAGTATATTATTAGCATTATTTTTAGTTATTTAGATATTTGCACTGTATTATTGAAATTCAATACTTGCACTTTTACTGATCTACATTTCCAAGAGGAAGATTCTTCTCTTTTTGTCTTGCCAGTCAGTCGAGTTGCTGAGCAATTTCTTTTATTATTCTTATTAAAACATCTCATCAAATTCATATGGGAGTAAAATGACAACAATTCTCATAAAAATGGGCCACAAAATACCAGAGAAGAACCGTGTTTCCTTAAAGAAACACGTTTGAAATAGAAATTTGTGAGCGTGAAGAACCTTTGAAAAGTGTGTGTGTGTGTCTCGGGGGTCATGCTGTGTTTTTCTAAAGGCAGAAAAGAGCAAGGCACACCACCTTTTTTTTTCCTTGGAGGTCACACTGCTGTGTAGAAGCCAGTTTCTGCCACTGGAAAAAATATATAGTCATTTTGTAAGTCATAATAATGAGCCAATTTTCTCAGAACTATGCAAAAGTAAGTCAAACATATGAGATACTAAGTCAACATTATGAGATACTAAGTCATAATAATGAGATTGAATATCATTATTGAGATTCTAAGGTTTAATGACATAGTCATAATTATAAGATGCTAAATCATAATTATAAGATGCTAAGTCATACTAATAAGATGCTAAGTTATAATTATGATATGCTAAGTCAAAATTGTGAGATACTAAGTCATAATAATGGGATCAAATTTCAGTATTGAGATTCTAAGTCATAATGAGAAAGTAAGTCATAATTCTGAGGTGCTAAGTCATAATTATGAAATGAAAATGCTTATGAGATATTAGGTCATAATTCTGAGATGCTAAGTCATAAATATTAGATGATAAGGCATACTAATGGGACGTTAAGTCATACTTATGAGATATTAGGTCATAATTATGAGATGCTAAGTCATAGTTATTAGATGATAAGGCATACCAATGGGTTGTTAACTCATACTTATGAGATATTAGGTCATAAATATGATATGCTAAGTCATGCTTATGAGATATTAGGTCATTATTATGAGATGCTAAGTCATAGTTATTAGATGATAAGGCATACCAATGGGTTGTTAACTCATACTTATGAGATATTAGGTCATAAATATGATATGCTAAGTCATGCTTATGAGATATTAGGTCATAATTATGAGATGCTAAGTCATACATGTTAGATGATAAGGCATACTAATGGGACGTTAAGTCATACTTATCAGATATTAGGTCATAATTATGATACGCTAAGTCATACTTATGAGATATTAGGTCATAATTATGAGATGCTAAGTCAAAATTATGAGATGATAAGTCATAAGTATGAGATTCTAAGTCATACTTATGAGATATTAGGTCATAATTATGAGATGCTAAGTCGCAATTATTAAATATTAAGTCTTAGTTAGGAGATAGAATCTCATTATTATGTCATAACTATGAGTTACTAAGTCATGATTATGAAAAACTTTAAGACTGGCTAAATGGCTATATATTTTTCCCAGTGGTGGAAATAGGCTTCCATACTGCTGTGTTTATGAAGGCTGCATTGAGCTGTGTTTCCCCCTGTTGCAACGCACCAGCTCGTTGTAGCTAACTGGCTAACTAAAATTAGCCAGACCTCTTCCTGTTAATTACAGATAACATAAAACACAATGCAGCAGTGCTAGCGAGCTATCGTTGCTATATGTACAGGCAAAAAGTACTACAATTAACTACGAAACGGTGCTGTTAGCAAAAACAAGCTAAACTAAAAACTTATAATAATAGTTTGTCGTGATTTAGATCTATGAAGGACTGCAGCATTAATCCTCCCCCCTTTACAACTGTAAAGAAGCCTTACCTTTGGTCTGACCGGTCAGCACAGAAAAAACACTCATGACGTAGTTTTGACCACTTTGATTAGAAATTTTTTCAACTTTTTTAAAGAAGCTTCACATAATGTAAGGGTTCTATACCAGTTTAAGGGGTTCCTCCTGGAACCTTTACATTGTGTGGCATTATGTGACAAAAATAATGAATTCAAACAGCTCAGTTTAAATTAATTGTTTTTGTAATTTGAACAGACTTACATAAAGTACATCAACCTATTCAGCCTACAACAGTTTAGCCCCGCCCATTCACACTGACGTTATACAGAGTGTTTCAGCTTGGACTGCTTTTTGAATGAGCCAGTCAGAGCAGAGCTCATTTATATCCATCAGTAACATAAATAGTCCAAATCCATGTTTCCATGACCTTTTATTGACCTCTCTTTGTCACTTAAAACTGCTTAAAAGCATTTTTTTAAATTATGTATGCAAATGAGCTCTGCTCTGATTGGCTCATTCAAAAAACAGTCAAGGCTGAAACTCACTGTATAACAGAAAACACTAATAGGCGGAACATGGTCTGAGTCTGCACCCAGGCGCTGTCCTATGCTGACCTGGACCTATAACCGATAAACTATAGAGAATTCTTTAATTTTGACGGTGTGGTCCTTTTTTAATCTGCGTAACTTTTCTAGCTTTTACAGTACTGCTTTAGCGGCCCGGGAGACACACAGACCAATCACATGCGTTGTAAATATGACAAGTGATGCTGCTCAGCCAATCAGATGTGTGCATTACGATGAGCACTGAGACTCGAGTGAGTGACGCACACAGAGGGGAGGGACGAGGCGAGAAACAGCAGCCGGAGGAGAAAGTGAGTCAGAGGGAAGTTATTTCACATGTCGTGATCTAAAAATAGAAAACATAGAAAGTCGATAAATATTGTTGAAATATGACTGAACTGTACTTTATTTGATTTGACATTCAGTTGTTGACTGTATAAGATGTTGATATACCTGCTAGGCTACTTCAGTAAACAGTATATGGCACTGAATCATGATGCAAGTTAGACATTATGATGTTCTGGACCTTTGCTTGAGGAAATTTTCTCTAACTGGACCTTACTGAATTTTAATTAAAGACCCCTGCTGTATAATTTCAGTTTGAATGTGTGAGATTAAACTAGGCTGAATAGGTTTCATATACTTTATGTAAGCCTGTTTGGTTTTGTGGCATCACAAAAACAATGAATTTAAAACTGGGCTGTTTTTGCAGCTCAGTTTCCATGTATGGACTGTATGAACTTGGGAGTAACACGTTTCTAAACTTTAACAACGTTTACATACTACATCAAACTCTTTTTTTAAAAAAAAAGCAAAGACAAGTACGGGCCCTTTAAATAAACAGTGTTTAATTCTTTTGGACTACCTCTCTGCTTCGGACCAGTGGGCGTTCTGTGTCCTGTTGATGGCCTCTCTGTTGGAAGAAGTCACTGTGACAGACTTGGCAGGGGCAAAGAGGTGAAATGACTTTGTGTGTGTGTGTGTGTGTGTGTGTGTGTGTGTGAGAGAGAGAGAGAGAGAGAAAGAGAGAGAGAGAGAGAGAGAGAGAGAGAGAGAGAGAGTGTTGGTTGGAGTTTTGGTGTGTCTATGTGGGTCTGGCCAGTATCAATAGCAACCACTCTTGGACAACCCAGTCTCTGCTTATATATCATTCTTTGTGTCGATGTGGGCCTCTAAAAGAATACTTCAGTGTTTTTCCACCTAATCTCTCTCTGCTGCATCTGTATCATACCATCAATCACCACAGACAGTTTCGCAACAGTTTCGATTATAATTATAATAGAAGCCAATGGGCAAGTTGCTGAATTCCATCAGTAAACATTTGTGGGTCAGAGTTGAAAACACATTTGGTTTTTTAACTGACTTGGACTAAAATCCTTTTGTTTTGAATGGCCTCATACCTTAGTTATGTTTATTTCATTAAAATAAATAAGGGAATGTTCCATTTTGTCACTACGAAAACAATTATAACACCTCCAAAACTTTATTAAATGTTTCAGTAATGACTGAGAGCAATTAAAAAGCCAATACATAACTAGCAAATACAGCTTTAAGCAGTTGTACATGCATAAACCCATTAAAGCGTTGCAGGAGTGCAAATTCCTAATGTTGCAGACTGTTCAGACTTTGGCCTAACCGTGCCCAGATAAATGAAAGCAGTGCATGATTTTAAATCCACCATTCAATAAATGTCAAAAGCTACGTTCACATTATAAGCCTCGTTTCTCAAATCCGATTTTTTGCTCAAATCCGATCTCTCTGACATGACGGTTCACACTCGTTTAGGTAAGTGATTCAAATCTGACATTAATGTGAACGAACCGGCGTCCTGAAATGACCCTCATGACCACATCCTACTCAGTAACGTCACGTGAATGAATCATGAGCATCATCAGCACAAACTAACGAGCAGAACGAGCTTCACTGAGAAGATCATTAACTCTGATCAGCTCTCAGCAGCAAAACAGAGTGTAAAAGAAACCATAACTCTCACGAGTCTGCACCAGCGCAGAAAGGCACAGTAAGCCACTTGGCTCAACAGTGGAAAAGAGGTGATTTCTGGGCAAGTTCGCCCAATCCCTCACCCCTCTGAAGGCTCATCTAACCCTAAAGCCATAGAACAGCCCTCGGGATTCCCCGAGGGGGAAAAGAAGAGTCCATGTGGACGAGGGCTTTTTAAACTCTATCGAAATGGGGGGA